AAAACCCTCTTTAATATCAAAGTGAAAACAGATTTTTACAAGCTAATGTTTGACCAACAGGTAGAACAGCCAGCATGGGGTCGCTTTTATGTGAAGAGGCAGAAAATTTACAATAAAGCCAATTATACCAAAGCAATTTCTTCGAAGTGAAAATGTACCTTGGCAATAAACCTGATTCTGATAAACACCACAAGCATTTCCTTCAATTTTGAATTTCTTTAAACATCAGAACTGACCCACAACAAATTCAAGAAAAACAACAAATAACATTATCCACAGATACACTGTGGATATTTTGAGCAAGTGTTGTCCAGTAGTCATAGTAGTTTAAATAAAGATCATTCAGAGTTCAGAGAGCAGCTTTTAGCTTTAAGGAGGTGATCTCAGAATGAGGGACTGTCTGGACCTGCAGTAAGGGATGCAATTGTTACAAACTCCTTTTGAATGGTTCACCAGTGATGATTGTCTTTGTAATTAATGTAGTGATAAGTGACAGTCGAAATTAAATACATTATTTTTATTTGATACTGACAGCTGTTTGGGGGATTGTATTTTCTTTTACTGTACTGAAAGACTTATAGGTAATGTCTAGTAGACGCTATGCTTGGCGAACACCAAACACAGCACATCACCACAAACACTCCACCGTGAAGCATGGTGGTGGCAGCGTCATGCTCTGAGGATGCTTCGTAGCAGCCGGCCCTGGAAGGCTTGTAAAGGTAGAGAGGAAGATGAATGCAGAAAAATATCTCCAAATCCTGGAGGATAATCTGACTCAGTCTGCAAGAGAACTACAATTTAGGAGAAGATTTATTTTCCAGCAAGACAACGACCCCAAGCATTCAGCTATAGCTCTGCAGAAATGGTTCAAAGACAACAAGGTGAATGTTCTGGAGCGGCCAAGTCAAAACCCAAATCTCAGTCCAATCAAGAATTTGTGGCTGGACTTGAAAAGATCTGCTTTTAACTGTTTATTAGTAGTTTATTGACACCCAGCTCCAAAAGATACCATGGTCATTATTTTTTATTTTCACTCACCTTGCCAGTGGCCTGTTTTTATCATTTCTTGTGTCATTGGTGGCCTCGTCTTTTCTCTGCGAAAGAAGACCAGGGTTATAATTCTTGCCTAGGTTATGATTTACTTTAACATACTCTCCTTTTTAATTAAAATGTTTAACATTACAACAGCTGTAAAAGTTGTGAGAGGATATCCAGGACAAAGGAGAGGTGACTTGATGTTAATATATTCATAAATAAGCAAGCTATTGAAATTACAACATTGCAATGTGCATAATTAATTGATGCATTAGATTAATCAGTTAATTAGACAATCGTGTAATTAGTCAATTAATAACTTATTCAATCACAAGCATTTTGGTGGAAGTACTTCCAAAAGGCGTATTTGCTCGCAAGTTGCAGTAAAATGCAGTCTGTTTAACAGCTGCAGTCTGAGCCGTTCTCCTGGACCAATTCCAAAACCTTTGGCGCCCATTGGTCATTTAAACCCCAAAATATGTTAAAATAGGGCCAGGTAAAATACCACAAGTACTGTGTGCACAGAGGAAGAAAATATTTCAGGCTGCGATTTACACACAGTACTTACCCGTAGATACATTTACTGCTGGTTTTATCTGCACATGCAAGGAAATATCACCAGAATGAAATTTTGGTAGGGTCGTAGCTGAAATAAATGGATGATCTACCTGTGCTCGGATATAAAGGGCAAATCTTCCTTTCCTTCTGGATTTAATGGACCTTTGGATATCCTCTGGTGTCAGTGTATTTAGTTTCAGTGGCGTCAGTGTCTTGGTTGCGTCGGTGGTAAAGACATCAAACCGTTCGGGCAGTTGAGGGAAGGTGGACTTCAGCAGGTCAAGGAAGTCGGGCTCCTGCAGGGCTCGAGGACACCTCAGTTCCTGCACCGGGCGCTTTAACACTAACATGCAAACAAATTCATCACAATGTTTGAGTAACAAAACGTATTTTAAAGACATTCTGACAAAACTGCAAATCATTTTTCAGCCCAGTGGAAGCTGGAATCTTTCATCTACAGTATCTCATAGTAGTGAGTGTGCAGCTTGTATAACAGTGTAAATTTGCCGTCCCCTCAAAATAACACATCACACAGCCATTAATGTCTAAACTGGCAACAAAAGTGAATACACCCCTAAGTGAAAATGACAGCAGCTCCAAACGACAGACCTGTGGGTTATAGGAGAATCTCCTTTTTCTGGTCTGGTAATAATCACATTGCTAGGCATACTGAAACGAGCTAGCTTAGCGTAGCTTGAGTGATTTTCTTTGGAAGTGGGAGGGGCAGACAGCATGTTGCCTGTTGGCGTCGTTTGGGCTGAACTGTTGAGCACAGCTGCACTGAGAACATTTTCTTCCACAGAGTTTAAGCTCTACTTGTTCGGTTTGTAATGCGTACATCACCGAAAGTCTCGTACCGAACAGTTCAACACGAATACGTGTTTTGTTAGACCCCTATTTAAAATATAAGTAATTATCTGTTCTGTGTGCAGCATTAACAGACTACAACCTTGTGTTGTATAATGACAAAAATCAAATTCTAGTATTCTCAGCAATCATTCAACATCCTGAGTGGACATTTCACTTTTCTGTTGGACTCTTACCGCCTTTTGTGAGCACACTGGTCTGGGAGTCCTCCAAGAGACAGACTCTGAGGTTTAGATGACTCCGCCTCCTGCACTTCCTCTTCACAGACTGACCTCTGCAAGGAAATAATCCAGTCAAGTAAAAAATCTAAACAATCCTTCACTGCAGTTCTGCATCAGAAATATTGTGTACCTTGTATTTGTGATCTGCTGACCCGGGTCCCACAGACCCTCCTTATCTAGACTGGTGCTCTGTACTGGCTCCTCAGGAGACTCCTCCCCCTCATCTATATCCTCCTCTTCTTCAGAGTAGCCTGAGGTGTCCCGTCTCCCCGAGTCCTCCACATCTGAAAAAACATTAACAGTGAAAGAGTCAAACATTCTGATTCTGTAACAGTATGACGGATCAAGGCAACAAAATGTGATTCATGCACACTTTTCTTTTTAAACATACAGCAGTACAGCAGAAGAAAATGAAACTTATGTAAGTAAAAGTATTGATGCACAGGAGTCATCAGCCTCACACTTGCTAGTATAGAATATCCCCAGTAACAATAACTCTCAACCAAAACCAAGTATTTCAGGACCACACAAAAGCCCACTCACATCAGACGCCATCACCCAGAGCTGCTGTCATGCCATAATCTGCCACACCGCCTGTCTAAGTGCACAGCAGACTGGAGCAGATCCAGAAATGAGTGGACTTTGTACTGAACTGACCATCGATTTTTAATCAAACTGAGAGATACTGAAAGATTCACACCCCTGAACTACAGTACTTGTATGAGTGAATGTACTGGACGTACGTGTCTGCTGTGCTTCCTCCTCGGGGAGTCCACGTCCTCCAGCCTCGTCGTCTTCAGGTTCATCTGGATCAGAGACAAAGGTTGGGTCATGTATCCATCAGTATGCTACTCACCACACAGAAGACTTTACATGAGAAACAGAGAAACAGATGTAAATCTTCTGCTCTGAAACATGAAGCTTTGCTTTAGAAGTGAACTGTGGGATTAGATTAGGGGTGTCTAAACCATGTCCCACGTGAGTTGTCCTCAAATTAAAATGTTTTGCCCACTGACAATAATTTGTCACTATATGTCAACAACAATATTCACCCAAAGTCCAGTTGCCCTTGACTTTCTTTGGATAACTATGACCTGGATGACTGAGAACCTTCACACACATTAGTTGTGAACATTAGGTGTCAAATAATTTTATAATATATAAATAAATATCTACTGCTTTAGTTAATTTAAAGATTCAAATTTTACACAAAAAGAAATAAACAAACAAGTGAGTTTCCAAAATAAAACATATCATTAACGATTAAACATTTATGTTACGGTTATAAAACGGGCAGCTCAAATCAAGCAATCTGATTGGTTCATAGTAGTGATATACTGAGCGTATAATTCCTTCGCACATATCTGTATCACTCTGCAACAAACAGGGTTAGAGTTATAATCTGAGCTTCTTGGAGGTCTCACACACCATTTACACATGTAATTTAGTGGTGTCTAAATAGAAATTGTGTGTAACCTGATTTCTGTATTGTTTCTGAAAGATCATTATCTTAGTCTAAGATACAGAAATCACACACAATTTCTATTTAGACGCCACTAAATTACAACATTCAAAAAAACTACACTAGCCTTGGCCTCAACATTACATACACAGGGAGCTTCAACATGGCTGTGAAAGATCTGAGGGACAAAGCAAGGAGAGCTTTCTATGCAATAAAAAGAAACATTAAAATATATATTCCAATTGAAATCTGGCTGAAAATTTTCCAGTTTGCACTAGAACCAATAATTATATATGGTAGCGAAGTCTGGGGGCCAAACCTTAATAATGAATTTGACAAATGGGACAAAACAATCATATAATCTTTCCACACTGAGTTCTGTAAGAGCATACAGCAGGTGATGTAGATGCTGGATCATAAAACACCAAATAACCTGTGCAGAGCAGAGCTCTGCCAATACCCCCTCTTACTAAAGATACAGAAAAGATCACTTAAATTTTACAATCACTTGAAATCAGTTAACCCCCAGACATATCATCACAAAGCCCTAACATACCAGGAGCTGAAACCAGAGAAAGGTCCCCAACAGCCTCAGGACAGCAACACCAACCCAAGCAGACCAAACCAAATTATCAACAAGCAGAAAGAAAAATATGTTGAATAGTGGAAAGAAACGACCAAAACAAAAAGTAAATTACAATGTTATCTGACCTTAAAAAGAGAATTGACACTGGCAAATTACCTGAGTACAATAAAATGTCCCAAACTAAGAAACATGTTGACAACATACAGACTGAGTGAACACAGCCTGGCCATAGAAAAGGGTCGCCACAGACAGAGCTGACTACCACAAGAGGAGAGACTCTGCTCCCAGTGTTACACGGGACAGGTAGAGACAGAGCTGCACTTTCTAACCTCATGCCCCAAATATAAAACACTAAGACAAAAACACTTTGCAAACATTTCCCAAATATACACCAAATTTGAATTTATATCACACACACCTATCCTAAATGCTTATTATATCACAAGTAAGGGGGATGCCAGCCCTTCACGTCAGGCTGAACAACGCCTCTTAACTGTGATACAAGCGTATACATGTGCCGGTCGTATAATTAGAATATCATCATAAAGTTGCTTTATTTCAGTAATTCCATTCAAAAAGTGAAACTTGTATAATGTATACATTAATTCCACACAGACTGATATATTTCAAGTGTTCATTCCTTTTAATTTTGATGATTATAACTGACAACTAATGAAAACCCCAAAATCAATATCTCAGAAAACTGGAATATTGGGAAAAGGTTCAATATTGAAGACACCTGGTGTCACACTCTAATCAGCTAATTAACTCAAAATACCTGCAAAGGCCTTTAAATGGTCTCTCAGTCTAGTTCTGTAGGCTACACAATCATGGGGAAGACTGCTGACTTGACAGCTGTCCAAAAGACGACCAGTGACACCTTGCACAAGGAGGGCAAGACACAAAAGGTCTGGGGGACCAATGTGGGGGAGATTCACAAAGAGTGGACTGCAGCTGGAGTCAGTGCTTCAAGAACCACCACGCACAGACGTATGCAAGACATGGGTTTCAGCTGTCGCATTCCTTGTGTCAAGCCACTCTTGAACAAGACACAGCGTCAGAAGCGTCTCACCTGGGCTAAAGACAAAAAAGAACTGGACTGCTGCTGAGTGGTCCAAAGTTATGTTCTCTGATTAAAGTGAATTTTGCATTTCCTTTGGAAATCAAGGTCCCAGAGTCTGGAGGAAGAGAGGAGAGGCACAGAATCCACGTTGCTTGAAGTCCAGTTTAAAGTTTCCACAGTCAGTGATGGTTTGGGGTGCCATGTCATCTGCTGGTGTTGGTCCACTGTGTTTTCTGAGGTCCAAGGTCAACGCAGCCGTCTACCAGGAAGTTTTAGGGCACTTCATGCTTCCTGCTGCTGACCAACTTTATGGAGATGCAGATTTCATTTTCCAACAGGACTTGGCACCTGCACACAGTGCCAAAGCTACCAGTACCTGGTTTAAGGACCATGGTATCCCTGTTCTTAATTGGCCAGCAAACTGGCCTGACCATAACCCTATAGAAAATCTATGGGGTATTGTGAAGAGGAAGATGCGATACGCCAGACCCAACAATGCAGAAGAGCTGAAGGCCACTATCAGAGCACCCTGGGCTCTCATAACACCTGAGCAGTGGCACAGACTGATCGACTCCATGCCACGCCGCATTGCTGCAGTAATTCAGGCAAAAGGAGCCCCAACTAAGTATTGAGTGCTGTACATGCTCATACTTTTCATGTTCATACTTTTCAGTTGGCCAACATGTCAAACAATCTTTTTTTTTGTATTGGTCTTAAGTAATATTCTAATTTTCGGAGATACTGAATTTGGGATTTTCAGTAGTTGTCAGTTTTAATCATCACAATTAAATGAAATAAACATTTGAAATATCAGTCTGTGTGTAATGAATATTATATCTGCGTTTTACTTTTTGAATGGAATTACTGAAATAAACTTTTTGATGATATTCTAATTATGACCAGCACCTGTGTATATACCACAGCCTGTCGTGAGCTATAAATAATGATTCTGCTGAGTAACTAGTTACTAAAGTCAGTAGTGGAGTAAAATATTTGAAGCTGAAATGTAGAGAAGTGGTATCAACTATGGAGAAAATTTAATTACAAAGTTACCTCTAAACGTAATTACTGTAGGCTACTCATGTTGGCTTTTTACTTCTGTTAGTTTTCACCATTTTTCCTGTTAGAGCATTACAGTAGTTTGTTTATAACAGATTGAAATTTAATAGTAATAAAATCGTCTTACTGCAGATTCAAAGTGCTTAAACCTCGACCATTAACAATAAAAGGCTCCTGGTCCAGGACTCCCCTGCTCCAGACTTGTATTATCTTAAATCACCAGGTTTTTGAATGGGGTTTGGTGCAGTGTTAAAACAACAGCAGCTGTTAAGCATAGTGTTTCATGTGGTTCCTAGTCTGTTCCCCACCTATCCTACAGAGAGAGACCCGAGGCTGCAGCACCGCCTCCAGCTGCCTCCTCTGCCGGTCGATCTCCTGCCTCAGACCCGAAGCCTCCTCCTCGTACCCGGCTACGGTTCTCTCCACAACCGCGAAGATTTCCTGCGCGGCTGTTGTCAGTTTCTCTGCGATGAATCCTCTCAGGATATCCGTTTTGGACAGTTTATAGTCCATAGAGTCCACCGAGGACACAAACAGCACGTTTACTGTCTCCATTTGTTCCGAGAAAGTCTCAAGTTTGAGCAAAAACAGAAATCACCAGCGCGAGATGCGCACGCTCGCTAATGTTGTCCGACTGAAAACCATCTACAAACAAAGGTTCCGCTGAAGCTCCCTTGTTCTTCTTCTTCTTAGCTGCTAAGCATATTTCTGCCCTCCACAGGACATAGTTTGAAAAAAATTCTTACTCTTACTAAAATTTGGTTAAAATAATAAGTACATTTACCACATAATACTCTGAACATAATTTTTTTGTAATGTTTAGTGAATCCAAACAATACATTTTCCCACCGCAATGCAAATTGAGGGTAAATATGGACAACAATGACTTGAGACACTTTGCTCCAAAGTTTCCTGGTATGTGGGCAAGACCAAAATAAATACATCAGTGTTTCATTTAGTTCTCCACAGAAAGTACAGCTGATGTTCAGGTCCTTTTTCAGTTTTTGCAGGTAATAGTTAGTGGGGTAAAACCTGTGAAGCATTTTGAATGAGATCTCTTTGACTTTCTTGGTTAAAAAAATCTTGTGGTGCAAAAGCCAAACTTTTTCCCAACAAATCTCTCCAACAAATGAGGACCAATATGATACAGCAGCGGGTGTACTGTTGAAAAAGTTGATGAATTGCCTTTTTCTTACTTTTATGTTGCAGCGAAAAACAGATGCTCCCAACAGTTGTTTCCTTCACATCCACCAGTGTTAAAACCTTTGAAAAATGAGATGACAGCTGAAGGTATCGCATTGAAGACGATGGAAAAGGTGAAAATAGGGATACCATAGTGATGAATAAATTCAATGTAGTTATAAAGTTGACCACATTGGTTAAATAATTGATTTACAAGCAAAATGTTATTGTCATACCACTGTTGAAAGAAAATGAATTTGTTTTTATACAAAATACATCTGTTGTTCCAAATATAAAACCTATGAGGAGTGAAGTTGTGCTTGTAAATTAGGAACCAAGCCAGTAGCATTTGTTTATGAAACGAAGAACGTTTAAGAGGAATTTTTTCAATATTATAAGTGCAAACCAACAAGAACTGGTGACCACCAACTGTATAAAAGACATAATAGGGAATAAAATTCCACAGACTGGTTGGACAATTTAAGTACCGCTTAATCCAATTAATCTTGAAAGTGAAATTTAAAGTAGTAAAGTTGAGAAAACTAAGGCCACCTTTACTGTACTCATTCATTAATACAGGCTATTTCAGATAATGATTGCGATTTTTACATACAAAATCATAAAGGACTGTATCTATGGTTTAGCACATTTGTTGATCTATATATAAAGATAGAGCAGCGTATGTTACTCTTGATATTCCTTCGGCCTTTGAGAGTAAAATCCTGCCTTTCAAAGATAAATCACGGAATAGCCACAGGTTGAATTTCTTCTTCATTTTATCAACAATGGGAGTGAGATTAAACAAAATGCTTACATACAATCATGTGTCACGCAGAAACTGCAGACCTGCCTTGGAGATCATGCTCTACTGTCTACAAGTCATTTATCAATCATCTCGGTTTAACAGAGAACTACAGAAACATCTTTTCCTAACTTCTAGCCCTGACTTCTTTCTTCCACCCTCTCTGCCTTTTGTTAAGCCCTCTTTCATTATTTCTCTCAGTTCCCCTCTTCCCAACGACACAAGGAGATCTACTTCAATTCTTAAGCTCTCTTTTGCAATGTGGTGCTCATTCCCACTCAACCAGGCGTGTCCAGTAACCCAGCACAATGTGATGACGCAACCAAACCCAAATCTAAAAAAACCCCACAGTCAATAGGCCTATATCACGCTCAAATTCTGCTTCCTCTGTAACGTTTTACAGCAGCTGGCGTCCTGGCGCATTACTGCCATCCTATCTTCATCTAAAATGATAAACCAAAAGAAAAATATTAATGTACAGAAAAGTACTGTGACGATTTTGTAATAAATAAATAAAATGGAAATAAAACACATTTAAGGTTCATTGTGTAAGACTTAGTGGCATCTAGTGGTGAGGCTTGTGAATTGCTACCAACTATCCAGTCTACCACTGCCCTCTAACCTTTCAAAGAGCATGGGACAGCTACGGTGGCTGACACAGCACAAAAGGTGTCTCTTCTGGCAGAGAGTGGCCAGTCAAGAAAGGATGGTTCTTTAGGTATATTAAGAAATTATATTTACTTAATTATTCGGTAGATCCATATGTTTTTGTGACTTGGCCACTGACAGATAACATGAAAAATGTAAGCAAAGAGTGTGAAACACTGTCACTGTTTCTGCACCACAGTCCATTATAAACCACACATTTGATAAGGTTTATACAAACATTGACAAGGGAAACACATTTATTCTCTCTGTGATTATGGACCATCGCCAAAACTGCCCGCCAACAATAATATCGGGCCCGCGGCCAAATTATGATGCTTTGATAGCGTCAAAAATGATAAATAAATAAATAGATGAATACTTTGATAGCTTTGCTTAAAAATAGATCTCAGTCATGACAGCAATCATTACTCACATAATCACTTCCTCTTCAGTGGTTTTGCCTTCAAAATAAAAGAGTGATAATGCAGTATTTGGAGTTGAAATGAGCTTTTACTTTGAAAAATTCTGAACAACATTAAAAATGTCTGTAGCCTGCATGACACACCTCTGAAAGAGCCGTCAGAAAAAGTGATTCCCCTAAATGTCCTCTGCCTGGAGATACTGGGGAAATGCAAAAGCGTCCGTACGTTGATGGATGAGGATCAAACACAGGAACAAAAACAGTGCAGCCGTGATCTGAGAAACATTCGCTTTGTTTTGCTAATTCCTGCACTTTACCAACTGAGCTGACCAATCAACATGTTGATACAAGTCAATATTATGGCTTATATTCTTATCCACAATCTAATGGTTGAAAATACTGAATTTACTTGCAGACCCTTGCAGTATGTTATCACTACTCCTTCTTCTTCTAATGTACGTATTTAACATAGTGACAAGTGTCTGCACTGTCTGAAGTAGAAAAAGAAGAACGTAGTGACGAAATGTGCTCTGTAGCGCTGTTTGTCCGATTTCAGCTACTGTAGAAACATGACGATGCAACATGGCAACGTCCACAGCACGGAGTGCCCGCGGTTATGTACATAAAAATGTCTCAATAAAAACATAATGATTTATTATGTAAGGTCTTTATACACCACTGAAAACAAAGTTAAAGATCTTACATTGCATTTCTGTCAATAGATCCTCAGAAATATTACACACTGAATCTTTAAAATTAAAATGAGTCAAGTAAATACTATAGACTGGGTTGTAATTATTTTCACAAGCCTCCGCTTTCAGGTCATGGTTGGTGGCCGTGACTTACCGAGAGAATTATAAATTGTCCCCCATATTCTCTTGGTAACTGACTGGGACGAGACGTGCTGTGCCTGAATTCCCAACTTGCTGCAAAGTCTTTGAACTGAGCACTGGCATCATTATGCGACAACCTCAGGAATGCCATGTCTTGCAAACACTGCAACGTCTCTCAACTTTTCTGAGAACTTTGAGAAATCGTCCAAACATAGCAGATGCCACCTCTCTCCCATGTCAATACAAGTTGTGAAATTGTAATGTTGTAAAACATTTGCTTTTCATGCCATTACTGCTACTTCTACTCCTCCACATCTCTGAGGGAAATATAGTACTTTTTACTTCTCTACATTCATTTGATAAAGTTAGTCACAATTTACTTTACAAACACAAAACATGTGTGAAAATGTACAAGAAAAGCAATTTATCAACTCATGTGAAGTGTAGCTGCTTTTTTAATTAAGCCGTTGAAGTCAGACGTTTCTAAACACTCCACAGATTACATATGAACAAATTACAGTTTTGCTAAGTCTGTAAGGACATCTACCTTGTGTGAGTTTTCCAACAATTACAAATGACTATATCTGTTATGAGTTTAGTTTTGGGTTATGTTCGAGTTGTACTTTTCCCTGTGTGTTTCTGGTTTTTGCCTTTGCCTTGTCCATAGTTATTTACGTCTTTGCCGTAGTTCTTAGTTCTGTGCTTTAGTTCATGTTGGTGTTATTCCTGGTCCGTGTATTTGTTTCATTATTTGATCTTGTCTTGTTTAGGGTTTTGTAGCTTAGTTAATTTTTATGTTTATCTGCATGTTTTTTACCTGTTCGAGTCCTTAATCCTGTGTCTCCATGTTTTAGTGTAGTCCTGTCTCCTGTTTGGTCCGGTCTCAGTCCATGCCCTGATTTTGCAGTCTTTCCTCGTTTTGTGTTTTACTTTGGTAGATCTGCCCTGGTGTGTTCCTGTGCACTTTACTTCCTGTTTTATTTTGTCATCATACTAAGGGGAATAAGCAGAACAAGCCATGAGTGCTTACCTCAATTAGATTTGTAGAAATCAGTTCACCCCCCCCCCCCCCCCCCCCAAATCATAGCCTGTATAAAAGAACTGGTCACCACAACGTCACCCATTGGTTTGTGGACGGCCGTTTTGGAGCCTTGAGTTTGGATATTTGGAAGAGACGGTGGCGCTAGCAAACTTGGTTAGCTAGGTGCGTCTGTAATTCATGTTAATTGTGGATTTTAACCAGGATGCTAATTTTCGCTATCTTAAAACAGGCTTAACACAAAACGCAGTGGCAGCAACTTGTCAATCCCAGATAGTCCCGCCCTAAAGCATATGCTGGTCAATTTCCTCTAAATGAACATCATGCCGTATTGAAGAAGACTTGAAACTAACGATTTATATCATAAACCCATTAGGAAAGTGTTTACTGGTGTAATAAATCTGTAGTAGGGTCATTTAATCATTATTTCTGGATGGACTTCTTTTTGCAACTAGAGGAGTCGCCCACTGCTGGCCGTTACATAGAATGCAGGATTAAGGCACTTCTGCATTGGCTTCACTTTTCAGACCCGCAGGTGAATGCCATAATCCTCTGTAGCCACTTGCATATCTGTCCTCCTCTCTTTTCGATTAGCTTAGAGTTAGACAGCAACAATACTTTGGGAAGGAAAACATTGCCCAGTTTCTATAAAGCTT